TGATTTGACTCGATTAGATTTAATTAAACTTGAGATCGAGTTTGAACTCGAGTAAGGTAAACTAAAGTTAAGATTGAGCTCAAGGTTGACTTCTAAAAGTTCGACAAGCTCGAGTTCAGTTATTTTATCTCGAATCAAGTTCGAATAGTGCATTACTCGAGTTCAATTCAAATCAAATGCACCCCTACTCGTATGTATGACTTCTTAGAGTTTTCGATAGGTTTTTCACCAATTTTTCAAATGGACGCAAACACCATTCCTTGTGATACTCTTTTCACTACGTCTATAGATCATTCTTATCCCAAATGCAATCAGACTTCCATGATGGACCCCTCGAATGATGATGAGGAATAAATACCTAAGGGAGTGCAGGTACTACTTAGAGGATCAAAAAGGTTACGGTTGCAGCAAGATCTACCATATGAGGGAAATACATTAGAAATACAATTGTTCTACCACTCTACGTGATAAGGGCAAAAATTGAGTTGTTTGGTGAAATTCAAATTTCAAGATTTTTTCCTTATCAAACCTGCCATTTTAAACTATCACAATACTTTTTATTTAGTTATATTAGATATTTATCATTAGATGCTACATCATTTATTGTACTTTATATTATTCATAAAATCAAAACAAAATTCAAAATAAGATATGATTTCGACATATTTTAATTTAAATTAATTTTTACATTTTAAAATGAAACATAAATCTCACTTCTAGCCATTCATCGATTATCAATCCCCAATTATGATGGAAACAATAGCATATTTTAAAGGTAACTTTTGTTTTAAGTCACAATCTAATCCTTGATAAATTATGGTTTAGAGTTTAGGATTTAGGATTAGGGTTTAAGGATTACTGATAACAAAAATTAAAAATTTTGATTTTAATTTTTTTTAAAAAAGGTCGCTGCTTCCAAAAGGGATGCAGCGATTAGAATTTTTTCTTAATATTGCTTAATCACATGCTATATGACAGGTAGCAAATCCTTTTTTTTTTTACACATTTCCTTTTTTAGTTCTAGCAGTAGCGGCGAAAAATTTTGAAAATTAAATGAATATTTAATGCAGCGACCCTAAATTTAGTACAAAATTTCAAGAAATTCGCCATTACTATTACTATTTACTATTTACTATTGCTATTGCTATTACTGTTACTATTACTATTTATTATTTTCTATTGCAATTTACTATTACAATTTACCATTTATTATTATTATTTACTTTACTATTACTATAGATAACTATTAATTAATACTAATTAATAGTATGCATAAAATAATTACTAAATACTATTAATTAATAAACTTCACTGTCAACATTGTTTTATAATTAAATGCACAACATCAAATGCTTTACCATCAAGGTCTTGACCCGTACCTGTTTAGTTGACAAATTTGACGGAGGTTCGACTTCTGGCTTCGGATGACCTCTATTTATGCCGAGAGGGAAGATACTGATGGACACTGCTTTTAGAATCCACTGCTTTCATCAATTTACTTTAGGAAGACAGAAGGGATAAAACCTATCGCGCCCAATTTTTGAGATAAAATATCTAATGAAAAAAATGTGTTTTTCATTTTATCAAATAAGCAAAAAAAGGGACCTAAATGAGTCTACAAATGCGACAATTTGGACCTAAAATTTAGTCTAAAAAGAGTTTAAAAAAAGGAGTCGCCACTTGGTGTTAATTTTAGGTGTACCAAGTCACTCAAAAATATTTTTTAAAAAATAAATTAAAAAAATAAAAATAAAATAAAATGAAACCCTTTTTGACACTTTTAGATCGTTGAAAATGAAAGAAAATGAGTTCGGGAGTCACAGTTGAAGAAAGGAAAGGCAAAGGTTCAATCAATTCAAATCTAAGGCACCCTTTCAATCTAACATAAATTAGTTGTGAGATTTAGTCAAAATTTTTCTAATCTAACCCTTAAACTTATCCTATTTGGATGTTTTCCATATGAATGCAAATCTAAACTCAATGGAGATATCAAGAGGGACAAAATATCCATTCAATATCTAATTGGTATCAATCGCATTAATTGCGAAATTCAAAATAATCTCTTGAAAGAGTCACGAGTATGTAAAGATGAGATTCAAAGAAAAATATTAAACTTTATATGTATAGGTATAAGTACTCAAAGAAAAGGGGATGCAACATAATGGGTACGAAAAATGGAAACTTGTGACACAATTTTCCTTCTTATAAAGTAATAGTGTGCTAAGGTTACAAAAGTCATACTCTCCCATTTTTCATATTCGAATAGTAACTCTTCTAATCTAAACAAGCAAATTAATTAATTTATTTTCTAATTTTTTAAATGAAAAATAAGTCTAAATGATATGACTGATGCATATGAGGATAAGGGAATAATGTAAGAGAAAATAACATACAAATGAGAAAAATTGCTAAAATAGAAAAAATGATTGAAAATGCAATGAATAACATACAAATGATAAATCCAACGCTTGGATGGGACCTACAAGTCTAGCATTGGATTAACTTATTTGTATAAATTCTCATTAGCATTAGACTAACGAAGAAGTGAGAAATAGTCGTAACTAACATTGGACTAGTATAGTGATATCATGCATTCATCATTTGTAGCAAAACATATAAAGCGTAAATTAAAGCAAATAACACATAGAAACACATAGAGCATATAACACATAAATATAATAATCTAGTTGCAAAATCTTAAGGAAAATGAATAAAACACATAAGCACATAAATCACATAAATACAAAAATTTATCTATTACATCAGGGGACCTAAATGCAATCTAAACAGGGAACACGAGAAAATAAACTTATCTAGCTTATTTATTACAAATAGGGACCTTACTATAATTTAAAATGGAAAAATACAAGAGAATAAAACCTATCAAGCCTATTTATTATAACTATCTATCTAATTACTTGTGCAAAAAGAAAAATATAACCTATCAATTACATCTCGGATATTCAAATACCCTCCAAATAGTTGTTAAATAGACATGAAAATGAATATCAACTTAAAGTAAATAAATAAAAGAAAACATATAAGATATATAAACACATAGGAGCACGTAGAAACACATAAGAGCACATAATCAAAATTTAAAGGATAATAGGGGTACCTCTCTTTTGAAGAATTGGACTATAATGAGGGAAGATTACTTTATTTATACTAAAAATAAATAAAAGGATCACGACACTAATTTAATTAGAAATATTTTTAAAAAAGAGAACATAAAAATATACTAAAAACATCTAAAAATTACAAATTAAATGCACTTAAAAGTAACATCATTGGCAATTAAAAACAAGAAACAATCATAGTAGTGAAATCAAAAAGTCACTAGGGATTAAATTGTAAAAATTAGAAAGTTTTTGAGGTTAAAAATATAATTTTGTAAAAGATTAGTGGTCAAAATTAAATAAAAATAAAGTTTAGAGGCCAAAATGCAATTAAATTAAGGGTCTAAATGAAAGAAATTCAAAATTTTTGTGTCATAATAAAATTACTCAAAGATTAAGGTTAAATTGCAAAATGTGGTTTTTGATTTGAGAAAAATACAAACAAAATAATTTGTGTCACTTTTTAGTATTTGGACCACACTACTTTGACCCAAAAGAAAACGAGTTTGTTTGGATAGGAGTTTATTTGAATGATTTATTTGAGATAATTACTGTAGCACTTTTTGTGATGTGATGTATGTGAGATAAAAAGGTGATTACAATTTGTGAAGTAAATTATTTTATCTCAAATCATCTCTTTCCAAACACTCCTGCATATTGTCTTGTAAAAAGAACCAATAAGCTCAATTAACTAAACAAAGACATTGGGCCTAAACTCCAAAACCTAGCACCAAACTCAACAAAAAGAAAGGGTTATTATCACTTTACCCCCTTAACGTTCGATGCAACTATCAATTTCCCCCTTAACGTTATCTTTTAGTCATTTTACCCCCAAAACTAACGGTCAAACTTAACAGAATTTGTTAATTAAAGTAAAAAGACAAGTTTACCCCTTAAAGTTATTATCACTTTACCCCTATAAACTATAGTCTCATTATCAATTTACCTCATAGAGTTATTTTTTAGACAATTTATCTCACCATTAAACCAATTTAGCAAGTTAAAAAACTTTAGAAGAAAGTACCCTCCTCTTTATATAATAAAAATAATAAAAAAATTTAGAATGGTTCTTCTCCTCTTTAGTATCAAGAAAAAAAGTCAAAACATTAATCTCTTTCCTCTTGGCAATCTTATTAATATTAAAAAAAATAAAAAGATTGGGAAGGGGAGGGAGAGGGGGGAGAGATAGAGAGAGAGCTCAATTCTTTTTTAAAAAAATACAAATAAGAAAGAATTAAATACTTTTATTATTTTAAAATTATTTTACTTTACTATTTACCACCAGGTTTCAATCCTACTTATAACAACATTAAATTAATACGATAATGTTAGACTTTTCTTTATTATTATTATTTTTTTACAAAATTTAATTTTGTCTCCTTTTTTCCTATCACTTTTTCTTTTCCTAATATTAATAAGTGTGAAAAAAGAAATTTGAGATAACCCTTTTATTTTTATATTTTTTGATCTCTTAAAGTGAAAAAAAAAGAAGAATAATAATTCTAAATTTTTTATTTTTAATTATATATATAAAAGGTAAATATATTTAAAATTTTTTGACCATGCTAGAAAATAATGTTAGAAATTAAAGCGATTATATCGCTATAATTTAAAGGAATAAAGTAATAATAACAATACAGTAATGCTATAAAATAAAAGGGTATTTTTGTCCAAAATTTTTTAACATATTGAGTTGAATTACTTATAGGGGTGAAGTGACTAAAAGATAACGTTAGGGGGTAAACTGATAGTAGTGATATAGTTGAAGGAGGTAAACTGATAATAACCCAAAAAGAAAACACAAACCTAAGCAAAAAACAAACACTAGCCCAATGTTTTAAAAGAAACAAACCCGTCTTTTTTTTTCCTCCTTTTTCTTTCTTTTCTTTCATTTTTTTTCTTCTTCTTCCCCTCTCTTCTTCTTCCTTACCGGTCACAGCTGCAACTTCTCGCTGGAGACCATGGCAACACCGATGGTGGCACCGTCGCTGGTTGCTGGTCACCAACAACTTCTTTGATCCCTAAATTTGCCAAAATATATCTCCTCACTCGATTTTTTTTACATAGAATCCATTTTTGGCCTTTTTTTTTGTGTAAAAAATGAACTAAAAATGCCCAAACAAGCAATTTACAGTTGAGCCATTATTTTTAAAACTCAACCAAACCATCACCAAAATATAGCAAAATAAGCCTCGCCCATTCTACAATGCTACTGTGATATTAGTTTACCAAAAAATAACAAATAAAATAAAATATTAAAGCCAAAACAGCCCACAACTTAAGAAACCCATTTTATGATATTTGGACTCAAAAATTTCAAAAATTTGAATATCAAAATATTTTCAGGCTATAAACTAGTTAATACCATCTATTTTTAACCAAAATATATATATATATATATGAAATTTATTCGATTTTTCATTTAGCCATTTTTTTTAAACATGCGCTAGATATGATGGATTTTGAACCATCAGAATTAATCCCTAAAAGCCTAAAGCTATTCAGCTAAAACCCATGCACAACATGAATACTAAAAAGAAACAGAAAATATTCTTGGCTATAAAAAACAGGAAAAAGGAAAAGAAAAACAAAAGAAGAGGAAACGCACAAAGCCATATAAGCATATGAATGAAATCAAAAGCCAGTTGATTATGTCCTCAAAGAAGAAACATAAATTCCAATTCCAACCATCACATTCTCTCAAATAAAAGAAATGGAAACTGAACAATGAAACATGATTTAATATAAATGGGAACATAAGAGAAAAACAAAAACCTCAATGATACAGTGAGGGCCTTCCAATCGTGCGGACCAAGTTTTGGAGGAAAAAGAGCTCCTGAAATAAAACACTTCTCCTCTGCTTTCTTCTACCCTTTTTTTCTTTTTGAGAGAGAGGAGAGTTGTGTGTGGAGTTGTGTTAAGTGTGTTGTGTGTCTTGTGACAAATGAGAGAGAGGGTGACCGAGAGGAATAGGGGAAATTGGTGGAGTTGTTGTAGTGGTTGTTGAACACAATCTACATACAAATGGGAAGAAAAATTTGAGACAAGTCTGGGTATATGGAGATGAACAATCCACAAATGGGGATGGACAACAGAGAGAAATGGGGTTGGTGCAAATGAAATGGATGAATTTGATGACCTAGTTATAGCAAAAAATTTCTTCATTTGTATCGCTGGACTTTACATAGTTTGTATTGAGCCATTGATTTGCGTCGAATCAACGGCTAAAATTGATCAGATTAAAAAAATTGTCGGTGGAGAGTATCGTCACGTGCAAATTAAGAAGAAGAAAAAAAACCGATCGTTGGATCGTTGAATCAGAATCAAATCAGCATCTTTTTAACCTGCCTCAGTCTTGCTTAGAGGCGTTGGATTCTGCAGGTTTGTCATGTCAAAACATATTGAAAGCAGCAATACATAAATACGTACTGCATCTTTTGCACGCCACTGCAAGCCCTTCTGTGGACTTGGACAAAATATTTAGGTGCACCGAGCTGTCTCTGTCGAAAGTTACGATTACAGTAAAAGTCATACAATCAGTGTACGGAACTAAAAACCTACGTTCTAAAATGACCAAGGACTGGTACCAAAACTTTTCGTATAGGGCCCTTTGAGCTATGCAACAATTCTACGTGGTCAATTAAGAGGTTTTAATCCAATGAAATAAAAAGGACCATGTAAGATGCCTTTGGGGTAAACCACCTGCTCTTAGGCTGGTGGTGGCCACCAAAATACTACTCTTGTGGTTCTGCTTCAAATTCAGACAGGTGCGTAGTGCATTTGTCTGGTCCGGTGGTGGTTCTGTACCCATCGGTTCTCATAGGCTCAGTTAAGCCTTCCCCGTAGATAGTGTAGGAGTAGAGTAGGGATGACAATTGAAAAAAAAAAAGATGCCTTTCGGGGTAGAAAGGGAAGGATGATGCGGTTGCAAAGCTTTCTGCGGCAACTGCTTCGTCTCAATTGCACTTCAGCCTTCTGCATAAACCATGGGTCGGCACTGCTGTGGTCTAAACTCTAAACTGCCTTTCAGAGGTCAACCAACAACAAATTTGCCGTCCGAGTTTGGAGCAACTTCAAGACGTGGTCAATCAAGATGTGCTATTGATGGACCACATCCATCTGCCCTATCTCAATTAGTGCCGCCTTTCTTAAATGCGTGTTAGTAATTCGTTATATTGACTTTTCTTCGTTTCTGCCATAGCTTCTGTCCGCTCAATTCCTTTGGTTGATGAAGAAAATCTTGGATGGTCAGCTGCAAATATGTTGTGCTTAGCACCTGCTTATCGTTGACATTTTTATCCTTTCTGTTTGCAATTCCTACGAGCTTTAAACTCTTGTTGAATTTAATTATTAAAATAAACGGGCCTTAGCCCTTAGGGATACAAATAACCAATGCAACAATTCACACCCCATCAAAAACCGTGTATGCGGACATGTCATGGTTCCAAAATCGTCGGTTTCGATTTAAAAATCGATTATTCCAAATTGAAATCTGATGGCTTTAATTCTTTTGAAAGGTAGAATCTAAATTCGCCCTCGGAATTATGATTATAGTTCTTAAACCTTTATTTTCGATTTCAATTACGATTTCAAATTTTTCTGGTTATGATCTCAATTCTTAGTTATGTTGAAACATTATTATATAAGTGATTTTAAGAAAATATGACAATAAATATAGAAAATAAATAAGAATTTTATTGTATCATCACTTCCAAAGAAAAAGAAAAAAGGATACAAACTTTATGAAAAAAATACCTCATTATTGATTAGATGGAATTAGTCTTGGATTTATATTAGTTATGGGATCTAAACTTACTAATGAGAAGGAACAGTGGATTGTTAAACTACAATTAGAGCTACTAGTGTTATAACTGGCCATTGATATTTGAACTCTAAACTTGCAAATATATTTAAGTTGCAAGTACTGTTTTAGACGATTCTCCCTAAACCTATCAATTCGATTCAAGCTTTTAGCAAACTTGAAGCTTTTAATTACACGGCTCTTAATTCCAGTTTCCATAATTCGATTTCGATTTAAGAAATCGTCCATTTAATTTCAATTCAAACCTGAACCGTGTTCACCCTACTTGAATGTTTGCTTAAACTATCTTATTAAATTACCTTAAAACCAAAAGATTTCCGATTCCACACACACACTTGCGATCTTTTCTGTATGCTTTGATTGTTTACCATACTAAAAATTTTAAGCAGACGAACATGCCAATAAGCTGTAATTTCACAATTAAAAAAATGTTACGGCCTAGTTTTCCTTCAATTTCTTGGGCTTCAGTGCCTAGTTCAAATCTTTGAGGATCATATTATAATTTACCCCATGCCAAGGTACAACTTCAAAAGTACTTGCACAATGAATTTAGGGCAACTGTCTTACCTTCTCACATTGATTCTATAGACAAACACCATGGAGAAGGATAGGACATCATCCAGTAGCTCAGAAGCACCAAACAGTCGCAGTTCCAACCCTTAACACTTGAAGGCGACTCGTAACAAATTCACTATACTCTTTGGTAGCCCCTTTTTATCATTTAGAAATCGCTCATTGAAACGTGAGACAAGTTCATCAAAAGATGATGAACTGCATAGCTTATCACAAGATGATGAGCTGCAGAGCTCATAACAAGATGCCAAACTACAGAGCTAATCAAAATGAGATTACTGCCCATTGTATCTGCTATGCTGCCAAAACTTGCCAGAGAAGCTCCACTTCCTTAAGAAAGCTTAAGTGGAGCGCCACTTCCCTGTCATCACGATCGCTGAGAGCAATACACCGTATCAAAGTTAAATCTGTTCCAAGTTCAGTACCTGCTTATCAGCAGTCCACATATCTGAAAGATTAACTGATGTCTCAGATGGACATGCAAAGTCACCCTTGAGAAAATTCTATCGCCAACCAGAATCCCAAAGAAAAAGAAAATGTTTAAGCTGTTTGATATAGATCCCTAATGTAGATAGCTACATTTCAAAGCAATATATATCATCTAACCTTCAACAAACATTTAGCATCACAAACATTTTGATCCGGTAACAAAAAAGTCTTAACCTTCAACAAACATTTAGAATAAGCAACTGTCCCGCATCTTGTAGCCCACAAAACACACAATTCCAACTCCTAAGCATGATTATTAGTCATCTTTCAGAAATTATCCACAAATCTTTACAACCCATAACACCCCCCCCCTTTCAGGCAGCATTGTGAAACGTTAGGCACACACTCTGGTATAATCCACCACCACAGAACACTTACAAGAACCTCAAGGACTGGACTTTCAAACATAAAACAGCAACACATTCATAAATAACAAGTGATGGTTTGAAGTCACGTAGTTCATTGCACTATGATGCCAACATCATTAAAGTAAAAGGATGACAAAATATTTACTACTAGTGTCAAGAAATCCATAACAGCATTCAAAACAAAAGACCCATACTATTGACATTTCAAACTTCCACTTCACTCAAATGCCCAAGCATTCTCCCTGCGAACCTCCTCTTCTTCCTCAGGAGTGAAATCATTCTTGATGTTGAAAGTCTTGCGGATCTCCTCTGGCGTCTTGCCCTTGATCATGTCTGCCACAGTTTGGCAAGTGAGGTCGAGCAGGCTCTTGATGTTGAGATAGTTGGCAGCCTGAAAAGGGGAAAAAATTGTTGGGGGGGTGGGGGGGAAGTAAAAGTCAAACGAGAAATTTTGGTAACAAGCAGACAATCAAATGATCCTACGTCCATCCCAAATGTATAAATTAAATTAATGTATGAAGACATCCCAGCACATGAATATACAAACGGTCTAAAACCACAAACCATCCCAACTGAACTCCTAAAGGCCTTTCTTTACTCCATAACCGGTCAGAGTCTTCAAACCACATTCACCCGATAAACCGTGCAAAATAAAGCTAATACCCCTGCTGCTAGCCTGCTACATTCTAGATGTTCAAAAGATTGAACCACAACCAAACACAGATAAATCCAAAAACATCTCAGTAGTCTGAGTAAACAGCTGATAACCTATGACTAAACAAACAACAGAAACAGCAGAACGATAGTCAACATAGAAGCACCTAATCACCCACAATCCTGCTCTTAAACCAAGGAGCCACACCTTGAATAGCATATGCATACCCAAAACAACAATACTTGGTCAGCCAAAGAAAGATGATCAACAAGATGGCAGAAATAGGACTAAATACTTTTCCAGAAAGGAGGGCGAGGAGCTAAATACTTTTCCAGAAAGGGGGAGGGGGGCTAAATACTTTTCCAGAAAGGGGAATAGACAGGACATGAGGAAATGAAAAGAAAAAATTAAAAAAAAATTGCATAATTCTGGTCCAGTGTTAGATATAATAAACACTAACCACAGTTCAGCTAAAGCCGAGAGATGCAAACCCTAGACCCAAAGTACTAAGGAAAAATCACAGTAACACATCAGCAATCAACAAAATCACACATTAATTCTACCATCAGAAGTGATTTGCAACAAAATAAAAAAACAGAAGCAAAGAGATCAGGCGAGTACACCACAAAAACACGGTCAAAACCTAAAAATCCAACAGAGGCAAGGACACAAAAGGCAGAAATGTAATAGAAAAGGAGATTAAGGACTATCAGACCAGGATGAGGTCGAAAAGAGTGCCCTGGTCGACTTTGACGAAGTCAGCATCGAAGGACTTGAGATCCTCATCGGAGGACTTGTCGCCGTCGGAGGACTTCGGGGCCTCGACATGTTTCTTACAGTACTCGATGACCTTAGCCAAGATCTTGCTGGTGACGTTGGGCAGAGGGATGCAAGTATCGGCGCAGTTGTCCTCGATCATGTGCTTGATGGTCTGCGATTCCAGAGCGACCAATTCCTCCACCTCGAAAGTTTCGCCGTCAGAACTCTTCAACACGATTATCTTCGGCGAAGACATGGTGGCTAAGCAGAGATGATTATCGTACGGAAAGATCGAAGAACGAAGAAGAAACCCTAACCCTACGGGGAGAGAGAGAGAGAGAAGGGCGTATAGGGATGGAAGACGATGTAGCAAAACAGAGATAAAATAACAGCCATTTGGGTTATTTATATAGGGCTGTGCTTAGCGGTGAATAACTGTACATT